TTGGAACTTCCAAAGCCTCCCAAAGGTTTGGGTCTTTGAGGGAAAGGCTGAGGTTTTGGGAGGGCCCATGTGCCAGCTGGAAGGGCCCTCAGCCAGCTCCCTCGTCCCACTCCAGGCCCAGGGAGAGCCTAACTCCCTGCTGGCCAGGCCTGCTGGGCCCTGGGATGGGGGCAGACTTTCACCCCAGCAGCCCCTGCCAAAGGGACATTTTGGTGTTCCCTGCCATGCAGTGTCAGATGCTGAGGCCTGACAGTGGCCCTGAAGCAGAAATAAGCCAAATGCACATGAAAAATGGTGACTGCCCAAGACACTCTTAGTTAAACTGGCACAGGGTTGTCATTCTCAGGGGGTAGATTTGTGATTGCTTAGGAAGAGAGAGTGAAGGGCTGTTGAGGCTCCTTGCCAGGGTGGAACAGCAGGTGGGAGGAGGAGGCAAGGGTCCCGAGGCAGGGGGTAGGGGCTTGGCACCTGCAGCTAGGGGCTCCCGGTACCTTCATGTATATTTCCAGAGTGTGGGATGCTCTGGGGAGGGTGGGGCACATGGTGCTGGCAGCCTCTACCCAGTTGTGTGTGTTGGGGGTGAGAGTGGGGCGGGGAAGGGCAAGGGCCCAAACACCTGTGGTGAGGCCCAAACAGGAATCTGCCCTAAAGGTGGCCGAAGCGGCCCACCTGTAAGAGAGCCCTGCTCCCAAAGGCAAAGGGCCAGCCCAGCGAGGTGACCTCCCAGACATGGGCAAGCCAGGCTGAACCCAGCCACAGCAGGAGATGAGAGGGAAAGTGGTGGTAATGAACAGTGGTAGGACAAGTGGGTGCAGACAGGGCACAGTGAATGCGGGGTGGGCCCAGCGGCCAGGGCCCATCCCTCAGAAGGCAAAGTAGCACTCGTTGGGGTGGCCCACATGGTCCAGGCAGGTACATTGGCTCATGGGCAGGGGTCCACACATCTGCACCACCAGCTCCTCCTCCAGGGATGGAAGGTGGTCCTGGATCATCTCCCCACTCATGAAGCCCTGGCTGTATTCCCAGGCTTCAGGGGCTCTGTCCACCGTGTACCAGAGCTTGAAGCATGCAGAATGTTTGTTCCTCAGTTTCTCCAGCTCGGGCTGCTGCGCGATGTCCTTGGTCTGGTTGGCAAACAGCAGGTGACACATGGTACGATCACTGGGGTCCTTCATGATGGCATGAATCACCTGCAGCATTGAGGTGATGCCGGTCCCTCCAGCGATCATGCTCACAGCAGCATCTTGAAGACAGAGTTGGATTTCTTGTCCAGATAGAGGGCAAACTTTGCTTTGCCCTGGTAGACCAGCAGCCCATTGGAGCCCCAGCACTCAAATGGTGTCTCCAGTCTTCATGCTTTCCATGTTCTGGGACATCTTTCCTTCAGAGGGAAACGTGGGCTGGGTGTCTTTAAAGTAAACCTTGATGACAGGTCCACAAAGCCCTGGTCGTCATCACTGGAAACGGGCGTGTAGGGCCAAAGGACCAGGTTCCTGTTGATTCGAGCAGAGAGGTAGATGTGCTGGCTGACAGGGAAGCCCCGGATGTGCTGGGGTGACGCCAGAGCAAAGCAGAACCTCCGAGTATCCTGGCTGATGACCTCCTTGACGAGCCACAGCGGGTACTTGATGTCCCAACTCTGGAGCATGATGGCCGGAGTGGAGCGGTGGGACAGCTTCCCGAGGAGGCTGCACGGGAGCCAGACTGCGGAGAGGACCACGTAGCCCAGTGTGCCCAGCTGGGCCCCCATATTGGCACCACTCTGCATTCGCTCCACAGCCGCCGCCACCAAGACCCACAAAGATGTACTTTTAAGTTCAGTTATTTTCCATAGAAATTTTTTTTTATTAATCACTTAAAATATGAAATTTAAAAAGTGATGTCCAGTTTCAGCTGGAAGAATTGCATCAGTGTGTGTGTGTGTGTGTGTATGTATATGTGCACATGCACATACACACACTCAGTCTTTTCAGTCACATCTGACTCTTTATGAGGCTATGGACTATAGCCCGCCAGGCTCCTCAGTCCATGGGATTCTCCAGGCAAGAACACTGGAGTGGGTTGCCATTTCCTTTCCCAGGGGATCTTACCCACTTAGGGATGGAACCCACGTCTCCTGTGTCTCCTGCATTGCAGGCAGATTCTTTACCCTCTGAGCCACCAGGGAAGCCCCATCATTGTCTATGCTTATTCCAATTATCCAAAAAATTTGTTGTAATATGGCTATTAATTCCCACCTTCCCTAACATCAGTCAGTTGTTCTTGCAAACTAATCAGAAAGTGTTAACAATCAGTAAGTTTAAAATTTACTAAAACTCTCCACTGAGAAATTTTAAATCAGATGAGAAAAGTGTTTGCTGGCTTTTTTAAGTGTGAACTTAAAAGAGTTACTTCATCTTCTTCAGCAACAAAACCACATAATGATGGAATGATTTCCAATAGCCAGTTTTCAAAATGCCCTTTTCAGAGCATACGTGTCTTTGGAAAAGCAGTTACGTTCTCATTTCTTAAGAGAAAAGTACTATTATGTCTTCAAAGGGACATATTTTGTGTTTGTTTTTCAACATCTGTAAAGTAGCTTACTAGGGAAAGCCTTTTGTTATCACAGAAAAAACAGACACCCAACTGTTTTTAAAAGAAAAATACATCAACTAATCAGTAAATGAGCAAAAAATGAGAGGAATCCCTCTCGCTGATTTCAGGACTTCCAGCTACAGTGGTACTGACTGTGTGGTACTGGTAGAGAGATAGACACATTGATCAATGAAACAAAAAGGAGAACCCAGAAACAGTTCCATGAAACTACAACCACCTGATTTTTTACAAGGTATAAAAGCAACTCAGTGAAGGAAGAATGGTCTTTTCCAGCAGTTTATTCTGAAATTCACAGACAAACAAAAAGAAAATCTGAACCTCATGCTTTATGCAAAAACTAACCAACTTAAATAAATCACATATTTTAATGTAAAGTGCAAAACATAACTTTAGAAGATAACATAGAGAATAAATTCAAGACTTACATCTCAATGAAGAGTTCTTAGACATGACACCAAAAGCATGACTCATAAAAGGAAAAAACTGATAAACTAGACCTCATCAAAACTAAAAACTTTTGCTCTGTGAAAGACTCTGCTAAGACAATGAAAACATAAGCTATGGACTGAGAGAATATCTGTAAACTACATATTCTATAAAGGACTAGGTCTGGGATATGTAAAGAAGTCTCAAAATTCAACACTTAAAAAAAACCTAATTAGATAGTGGGCAAAACTCATGAACAGATATTTCACTGAAGAGGATACATAAATGGCAAATAAGCACATGAAGAGATGTTTAACATCATTAGCCACTAGGGAAAATGCAAGGTAAGACCATGATGAGATCACACACATGTGAGCACAGCTAAAATTAAAAATAGAGACTGGACTTCCCTGGTGGTCCAGTGGTTAAGAATCCACCTGCCAACTTAGGGGACACAGGTTCGATCCCTGGTCCAGGGAGATTGCACATGCTGCGGGGCAGCTAAGCCCGTGTGCCACAACTACGGAAGCCTGCATTCCTAGAGCCCGAGCTCTACAACAAGAAAAGCCGCTGCAATGAGAAGCCCGCACACCACAGCTAGAGTAGCCCCCACTCGCCACAACTAGAGAAAGTCTGAGTGCACCAACAAAGACCCAGCTCAGCCAAAAATAAATAAATGTTTTAAAAAATAGTGACAACACCAAATGCTGGTGAGGATGTTTAAAACTGAATTGCTAACATAGTACTGGGAGGAAAGTGAAATGGAACAGCCATTCTGGAAAACATTTTGGCTGCTTCTTAAAGAAACTAAATATGCAACTACCATACAACTCAACCAACTTGCTCTTGGGCATTTATCCTAGAGAAATGAAGACTCAAGTTCACAAAACTATACTTGTGTTTTTAAAAACCTGTACACAAATGCTTACTGGAACTTTATTTGTAATAACCAAAAATTGGAAACAATACAAATATCCTCCAGTGAATGAACAATTAAATTAGTGGTAGTATTCCATCTGTAACATCAAATATTACCCAGCAATAAAAATGACTTAACTATTGATATATGCAACAACCTACATGACTCCAGAGACTTAATGCTGAGTGAAGAAAGCTAATCCTAAATGGCTATACACTGTATTATTCCATTTATATAAATTCCATTTATATCCTTTTTTTTTCCATTTATATTCTTGAAATGAGAAAATTATAGATACAGAGAACAGATTAGTGGAGTTGCCAGGGGATGGAAGAAAAAGGGGTATGGCTATAAAAGTGAAACTGTGAGGAATCTTTGTGATGTTGGAAATATTTTGTACTTTGTATCAGTGTGGACATCCTGATTAGAATACTGTACTGTGGTTTTGTCAGCTGTTATCATTGGGGGTAACTAGTTAAAGGGTATATGAGACCTATAGGTATTTCTTAGTGTGAATTTATAGTTATCTCAAAAAGTTTAATTTTTTAAAGTTTCTAATAAATAAATGGATAGATAGGAATTCTTTATATTTCCTGCCCACACCCTAATGAATTTTTGGCATACTCAATTTGAGAGATCATTGGCATATGCTGCTAGTCCCAGGATGCTAGTTCCTACCCAGTCTTTGGGTTCCTTTAGCTATTCTCAATGTTCTCTTGAAGTTATCTTTCTTAAATGCAAATTTGATCACGTTATTTCCCAAAATCATTAGTCTTGGGACATAAGGACCTTCTGGCTTTATCCTTTATCCAGTATATACACCTGAACACCAAACTACTCACAGTTTCCAATTGTGCAGAACTCTGACTCTGAGGTACCTGAGAATGGGCACAAAGACCTCTTGATTTGTTTATCTCTAGTTAACTAACTTCTAAACTTACCAGGTGTCCTAGCATATATTAAGAATGCCACAAATCTTGATTTAAAAGTTTATTACCTTTGCTTATTAACTCCTAAGCGTCCAAAGATGTTGGTTCTGTGTTATATTTGGAACACTAACCTGCTATCACTCCTGCTAGGTACACCAGTCCCACTCGGAGGCCTTTGTGGACCATTTCCAAGGGGATACCCAGACTCAGCTGCATGATAAGATTCCCCAGGATGTGCTGAACTCTGCGGAGACAAACACCATTGTCAAACATTATGACTAGCACAGGCAGTTATTTCCTTGGGAGGTTAACAGGCATTGATATGTTGTTTCCAGTTAAGAACATGCTTAATGTGAATTCCATTTTCTAATTTTTTTAGGTGACTTTTTAAAGAGATAAAATCTTACATGGAGCTTCAATATGTGAAGCAGATAAAAGGACATTTTAGAAATATACATTTACTTTATAAGTTTTGTTTTACAATAATTACTGATAATGTCAAACAGAGCAGTGAGTAAGCTTCAAGGAATGGAATATAAGCTTGCAATTATGGGTTTAGCTGACAATTGCCATCACATGTCAGCCTCAGCACTTGATTTTGTTTTAGTTGCACAGTAATATTGAGAGAATACTAATTCACTCATATTGAGTTGAAATTTCAATAGGTTTTTAAACATCTCTTGCAAGCTCAGGGTAGTCTTTAATAAAACAGAGGTGGTGGGACTTCCCAGGTGATCCAGTGGCTAAGATTGCCCTCGCTCCTAATGCAGGAGGCCTGGATTTGATCCCTGGTCAGGAAACTAGATCCCACATGCCACAGCTAAGACCTGGCACAGCCAAAGAAATAAATAAAACAGATATGGCAGGAGAAACCTCATTCCCATTCCCAGTTCTGTATTTAAAAGGTTTTAAGTTTACCAGAATGGGGAAAAAAAAAACTGTTTACTAGTAACACTAGCTAAACTTGGTTTCTCTCACATAAATATACTATAAATTGGTATATAACATTGTTGAGTAGAAATGCTTTTTATTATAGTTTATAAACATGGAAAAATATTTTTAAGTGAAATTGACATTATTTTGCTTGTCAAGCCCCACAAGCATCTATGGAAACTCTCTGAATGTCATTTGGCAAATTTCCATATAACAGTAATCCTTAATTTAGTTGCTATGTAGCAAAATGCTTTAGTTTTTTTGAGGGGGCATGGTGAATCAGAATTCTGAGTGAGGTCATAAAAGGCTATTAGCACTTAAGAGACTGTAAGCAAAACTAAAAGGCAGGCACTGCATCACCTATTGCTTGTATTATTCTAAATAAACTATTTTACACCCATCAAAATGTTGATGAATTACGTTTTTAATTTTGGCAGAGGTGGGGAGGAAGGCACTGGCAATTCACATTTTAAAGGGAACATTTAACACCACACAACTTGGACACAGTTCTAGTTTGGTGATAATTTGGTCTCTTCTCATTTATTTTCCTACATAAATACCAATAGTAGGCAGTTACAATACAATACAAAGTACACTGGACTTGGAGTTAGCACTAATGGGTTGAGATCTCACTCTACAAATGACTACATCCCGTAAGCCTCACATAAAACAGCACAAGCAGTTCTTGCCTAGTCCAAGGGTTGCATCAAATAAGATTATGGATATAAAAGTACCTGATCAATAATATACCACCTATATAGCACAGGGAACTGTGCTCAATATTCTGTAACAACCTCATTGGGAAAAGAATTTGAAAAAGAATAAATACATGTACATGTATAACTGAATCACTTTGTTGCACACGTGAAACTAACACATCATTGTTAATCAACTATAGTCCAATATAAAATAAAAAGTTAATAAAGTACCCAACAGATGTCCAGGGTTATGGTTACTTACAGTCACCTTGGACATCAGTGACTCAGCTGTGATTCCTTACTCAGCATGAACCAGCATGTATGAGATAAATCTCCAGGCTTCCTCCCGCTTCTCAGGACGGTAGATAAAAGGACTCTCCAAGATGCCCGTGTCCAAGGTGATCCACTGTTTCTGAGGCTTCCATACAGCATAGTAAATAAATAGCGCCAGCTGAAAGGAAGGGGCAGACACTGAAGTTAACTATACCTGCTGCAGAAAGCGGCCCCATTAAAGCCCACGGGCACCACCTCTGTTTGAAACAATTTGCTCTTAAGAGGGCCGCTCCACAGCATGTGCTCAGATGGCAGGAATTCAATTCCCTGCTGTATATCTGGACCATATAACTGTAGGCATCTCCTACTTCTTCCAGCAATTAAGAGCAGCCCTAGACCAAACTTCAAAGAATCTTTCTTACACCCACTTTCCCCTCCTCCTCTGCCCTCCTCTTCCCACCTTCACCATTTGATCATTCATTTACAACTTAATATGAAATTAGGTCACTGCTGGCTTCTGAAAAATAGAAGAGGGAAAGGGAAAAATAGTAACTTGACAGTGGGAAAACCTGGCAAACACGACCTTAACCAAGTGATGAAGGCTCATGTCACAGGGATGTCGTGGGGATGCCCCCAGTCCCTAATGTGATGTGATGAGAAGCGTTCTTCATTTCTGTGGTCTTCCTCCCCCAAACTCATAACTCCAGTCTAGCCATGAGAAAAAATATCAGACAAACCCAGACAGAGGGACATTGTATAGGATACCTGGCCAGTACGCCTCGAGACAATCAAAACCATGGAAAGCAAAGACAGAAAGGGTCAGAGATCAGAGTAGACTGGGGAGATGTGACAACTAAACACAGTGTGATACCCTGGGTTCGAAAGTATAAAAGGGACAGAAAGAGGTTACCGATAGAAAAACTGGTAAAATTCAAATTAAGCCTGGAGTTAATACTAATATATCAATATGAGTTTCCTAGTTTTGACAAATGTAAAACTATGGAAATGTAAGATATTCACATTGGGAGAAATTGGGTAAGGGGCATAACGAACTCTCTTACTAGTTCTATAACTTTTCTATAAAGCTAAAATTACTCCAAAATAAAAAATTTCCTTAAAAAAAATTTTTGGCGGCACCAGTCAGTCTGCAGGATTTTAGTTTCTTGATCAGGGATTGAACCCAGGCCCCTGCAGTAAAAATATCTAATTCTAACCTCTGAACTGCCAGGGAATTCTCCCTTTTCTTTTTTTAATGTACGGTCTATCACCTCCAGCAAAATATTGAGTAGAAATGGTGATAATGGGCATTCTTGTCTTATTTCTGATTCTAAAGGAAAAAATGACTTTAACATTTCACTGTTTGTAGTATTAAGCCACTAAGATGGTCCTCAAGGGTCCTCACCACTTAATATTCACACCCTTGAATAGTTTCCTCCTTCAATGAATCAGGGCTGGTTTCTGTGTCTGCCCCAACCAAAACAGCATTGACAAAAGCTTCTTTCAGGAACACCACATTTTGGCCTTATCTTTATATAAACCATAAGAGGCCAGGTCCCTATGATAGATAGTTAAATGTATATGTCAAAGTAACTAAACCACAGTATTTGGTCAAATATCATCCTACATGTTTCTGTGACTTTGAATAAAGCAGACTACCCTCTGTAATGTGGGTGAGCTCGTATCAGTTGAAGGCTTAATAGAACAAACATTCCTTGAGCAAGAAGGAATTGTGCCAACAAGTGGCCTTTGGACTTCAGCTTACCCCCAGGTTGCTAGTCTGCTGGCCCACCCTGTAGATATTAAATTTGCCAAGCCTCCACAATTACATGAGCAAATTCCTTAGAATAAATCGATCTCTCTCTCTCTCTCCACATATGTATATAGATAGATGATAGATAGTGTGTGTGTGTGTACATCCTATTGATGCTGCTTCTTTTAAAGAACGCTGACTAATACAGTCCTTGATAAAAAAAAAGTTGAGGCATCAGTGGGAACTAAGAGAATAATATTAGGAACTTCCTAATACTCAAGTCGGGGCTTCCCTGGTGGCTCAGAGGGTAAAGAAATCCACCTGCAATGCAGGAGACCTGAGTTCAATCTCTGGATCCAGAAGATCCCCTAGAGAAAGGAATGGCAACCCACTCCAGTATTCTTGCCTGGAGAATTCCATGGAGAGAGGAGCCTGGCGGGCTGCAGTCCACGGGGTCACAAAGAGTCAGACACGACTGAGTGACTCACACGCGCGCGCGCGCACGCACACACACACACACACACACACACACGCTCAAAGCTCCTAAGTCACATCCCACAGGCAGCCATCCTCTGTCAGTTCCTTTATGAGGCATCATGGTGTGGGAGAAAAAGATGGGTGAGATAAGGCTCAGGAGAAGCCCAGTCCTGGTCAAATAACTAAGTATGTGGCCTTGGGCAAGTCACCCCACTCTTTTCTGGAAAACAAAACAGCTGACTGCACCAGAGTCTGATACTCACTGCATGCTGCCCAGAGCCAACATCATTAGAAGATCCCAGTCCCATTTTTTCCTACTGAAATCTGGAGGCAACCTATAGCTCTTTTAAACATACAGCTCCGATAGACCTTAGCAATCAATCACAGTTGGTTCTCGCGATCAAACCAATTGGAAACCCAGAGATTATTTGATCTCTAAAGCCCCCACCAACTAAAATGAAATGAAGCCACTGCAATTGTGGTCACTGCTGGGCAGAGGAGTTGTTTGAAAAATAACTCAACACTTGACTGAAAGTGCCTGGGAAGGCAGGAAGAACCCGGGAAGGGACCTCTGAGGAGGATGAGGTCGGGTTCAGTGTGTGCTGTACTTGCCGCCCCCAAGCTCTCTTCGTGTTTCCCAGTCTTTCCTCTAGAGTTGATCTAAAGCCCCAGTGATCTGCAGCCCCCCAGGAGTCCTCGCGCCAGTGCACACCACCCGGCATGTTTACCTCGGCGATGCTGATGGAGATGATGAACACAGGGGGCGGGAGGCAGTTGGCTCTTTCCAGGTATGTTCTTCGCACCGGTTCAGGAAGCATCCATTTTGAGACAATCCTGTGGACGTTTCTAGGCTTGAAGGGGTCTTTATCTGCCCCGCCCTCTCTCACTTCCTCCTCTTCCAGCTCTTCCTTCATCTCTCTATCCATATTCAGATTCACGTCCTCCTCTATCTCCAAATGGTGAGCAGCAGCCATTGTCCTGGGTCCTCCTCCACCTGAAAGGAACGAGACTGTCAGGGGAAACAGATGGCCCTATAGTCTTCGGGCCGTAGCTCTGTCCTGGGCGCTCTGGCACAACCATCGGTTACCAGTGCCTTCCCTGTGAGTCAGTAGAAGGTGGCTGAAGATCTGTTGCCCAAATACACGTAATATCCATACCCTCACCATCCGGGTATAATTGTGAGGAAGTAGTTAGCTCTCCCCAGCTGAGGAGGACTCCCCAGAAGTCACTTATGGAATTGCCTACTGTCGGCACCCAAAGGGCGGACTGGAGCTTGGGACGGCAGCTCTCCCTCATACACCCTTTCCTTGCCCCCTGCCACTGACTCCCGAGGCAGTCGTTACTGTAAGAGAACTTTGCCACAAGGCGATGCATCTCAGAGTCTAAGCCACGCACATGCGTAACCGAATTCAGTGTTGACTAGTCTCCTCTCAACTCTTAGTTTCATCTTGCTTCTACTCCCGAGCCAAACACCGGTTTGGCTCTGGTTTCTGATTCCGAATCAAAAATTATTTAATGAGCATCGACTATGTATCAGGTATTATGCTGAGAGGTACTATGTATCAGGCACCCATTTTAGTTTAAAAAATTCCCCTCCCCTCAAAAAAGATTTAAAGCCACATCTTCTCTTTCTAAATTATCGGTGTCCTTTCTAACATGCCACCGCTGCCGTTGTGGCACATGAGTTAAGTGGGCCATTGCTCCCTGGTCCTCCAGGGGCAGCGCTGCAACTCTCGCTAAAACACATCTTCCCAACAACTCTTTGACATCTGACACTCTTGACTGAGTTCCTACTAATTTCTACACCCAGTATCCCCTTGAACTCAATCCTCAATATCCAAACACTCAAGCATTTATGCAACATACGTTGAACACCTACTATGTATCAGGCGACCATTCCTATCCCAAAGTGTTTACAGTGTCATGGAGGAGGCTGAGGTCAAGAAAATCACACAAATAATTGTGTAATTACAGCTATGCTAAGAGACACCATGCAGCTGCAGAAGTCACTGAGGCAGCGTGTCTGCAGCAGCGAGGCCCGGACCACATACTCCCTCCTATCCAGGTGTCATGGTGCTAGCTCTACCGTCTTTCTCCTTTTGGTTTAGTTCTGTTATATTTTACTCCTGGTTGCACTATTTAATCAAGTATTTTCATAGTCAAAAAATGGATTCTCCAGGCAAGAGTACTAGAGTGGGTTGCTGTGACCTCCTCTGGGGGATCTTCCCAACCCAGGGATCGAACTCGGGTCTTCTGCATTGCAGGCAGATTCTTTACCACTGAACCACCAGGGGAGCCCCTGGCAGGGATGGGGGAGGCTCAAATACATTAAAGGAAAAAAATAATGTTGCCAGACACTACATAGAGTACAATCTATTTTTTTTTAAGTAATGTATTGATACACAGGGAAAAAATCTGGAGAATTAACCATGATGATATTTGCATGATGGGATTTCACTAGATTTTTGCCCTTTATGTAGGAGTGGGTCCATATTTTGTGTTTGCTGAAGCTTAAACAATATGGGGGAGGGGTGTTCTTTGGAAAAAATAACAAAATTAAAATTGTAAAATAGAAAAACTATAAAAGTACTTAGAGTGATTTAGAAGAAGCCTGTGTAAGTAGAAATCTGAAGCTTAAGCTTTGTTAGTATCGCAGATAACCCAGCCAAAACAATCTTAAAAAAGAAGAACAAAGCAGGAGGTACCGCATTCTCTGATTTCAAACTATAATTTAAAAAACTACAGTAACCAAAACAGTATGGCACTGTCACAAAAACAGATACAGAGCAAAGGAATTGAATAGAGGCCAGAAATGAACTCACACCTATATGGGCAATTAACCTATGACAAAGGAAGCAAGAATATACAATGGGGGAACGATAGCATCACACCACATACAAAAATAAACTCAAAATGGATTAAAGACTAAAATGTAAGACCTGAAACCATAAAACTTCTAGAAGAAAACACAGGCAGTCTGTTCCTTGACATCACTCTTAGCAACATTTTTTCTGGATATGTCTCCTCAGGAAAGGGAAACAAAAGCAAAAAAAAACAAATGGGACTATATCATGCTAAAAAGCTTTTGCACAGCAAAGAAAACTACCAACAAAAGGAAAAGGCTGCCTACTGAAAGGGAGGAGATATTTGCAAATGATAGATCTGACAAGGAGTTAATATCCAAAATATACAAAGAACTCATAATACAACCCAACATAAAAAACAAACAAACAACCCAATGGAAAAATAGACAGAGGCCCTGAGTATATATTTTGCCTATAAAGAAGGTATACAGATGGCCAATAGAGACATGAAAAGATGCAGATTACTAATCATCAGGGAAACACAATCAGAATCACAACGAGGGGAATTTCCTGGCATCTCAGCGGTTAAGACTCCACATTTTTCACTGCTGTGGCCCAGGTTCAATCCCTGGTCAGGAAACTAGACCCAACAAGTCATGCAGTGCAGCCAAAAATAAACAAACAAAAATCAAAACACAATGAGAATCACTTCACACCTGACAGAGTGGCTGTTATCAAGAAAGACGACATAACAAGTGTTGGCCAGGATGCTGAGAAAAGATAGCCTTCATGCACTGTTGGTAGAAATGTACATTGGTACAGCCACTATGGAAAATAGTACATGGTGGTGGTTTAGTTGCCAAGTTGTGTCCAACTCTTGAGACCCTTGGACTGTAGCCTGCCAGGCTCCTTTGTCCACAGAATTTCCCAGGCAAGAATACTGGAGTAGGTTGCCATTTCCTTCTCCAGGGGATCTTCCTGACCCAGGGATCAAATCAGAGTCTCCTGCACTGCAAGTGGTTTCTTTACCAACTGAGCCACGAGGGAAGTCCGTGGAAAACAATATATGGATTCCTCAAAGAAAAGTAGAATTACCATTAGATCCAGAAATTCCATTTCTAGGCACTTATCCAAAGAAAATGAAAAGGTACCTCTATGTTAAATGCTAAATTATTTACAGTAGCTAAGATATGGAAGCAATCTAAGTGCCCATCAATATAGTTGAATGGGTAAAGAATATGTGGTATGCATACACATGCACACACACACAGAGGAATATTTCTCAGCCATGAAAAAGAATAAAATCTTGCTATGCAACAATACGGATGGACTGAAAGGGCATTATGCTAAGAGAAATGAGTCAGGCAGAGAAAGACAAATACTGTATGATTTCATCTATATGGGTAATCTATAAAACACGTGAACAAACACAACCAAACAGAAAGAGAGTCATAGATACAGAGAACAAACAGGTTTTTGCCAGAGAGGAGGAGGTTGGGAGGAGGTAAGAAAAAGATGGGAGATAAAGAGGTACATTTTAGTTACAAAATAAATGTCACAGGAATAAAATGTAGTGTGGGGAATACAGTCAATAATTGTGTAATAGCTATGTATGGTGACAGGTGACAACTAGACTTTTCATGGTGATCATATTGAAATGTATAGAAATAACAAATCATTATGCTGTATATCAGGAATAACAGTGTTGTGGGTCAAGTATTTCAAAAACAAATAAAGTCATAGAAAAAAAGATCAGCCACATCAGATATATGTGACTACCAAAGGTGGGGGTGGGAAGGGGAATTAGATGAAGGTAGTCAAAAGAAACAAATTCCTGCTGCTGCTGCTCACTCAGTTGTGTCCGACTCTTTGCGATCTCATTGCCTGTAGCCTGCCAGGCTCCTCTATCCATGAAATTCTCCCAGAAAGAATACTGGAGTGGGGTGTCATTTACTCTTCCAGGGGGATCTTCCCAGCCCAGGGGTCGAACCCACATCTCTTACCTCTCCTGTAGTTATAAGATACATATGTACTAGGGATGTAACACTACAACATCATAAAGATAATTAACACTGCTGTACATTATAAATGAAAGTTGTTAGGAGAATAAATCCCAATAGTTCTCATCATGAAGAAAAAAATTTTTTTTCTATTTCTTTAATGTTGTGTCTATATGAAAATGATGGATGCTCACTAAATGTACTGTGGTAATCATTTCATGATATACGTAAGTTGTACAACAATCATTATGTTGTACACCTTAAACTTAAAATATATATATATATAATAAAAACAGAGCCATCTGTATGAGACCTTTGCTGGACCCTAAAGTCTCAAGCACTGTACTATTTCTTCCCTTCCCTTGTGGGTCAATGTCTGAGGATGAGTTTGTACCCACTAAACACCTTGTCATCTGCAACCCCGATCGAAACTGCTCTGCTAAGTTATGCCCTTTAAACAAATCCACTTCTGTTGTAATGTGAATTCTAACAAAGTGTGCAGAGCAGCCCAGTCTCTTCAAAGCACATGGTCATGCAAATCTCACGTACTCTTTTGAACAATCTGGGAAGAAAAGGCAAGCAATATTCCCGATTCTCACCTTCCACTTTCCTAACTGAGCTTCCTGTTGAAAACCCTTCATCCCTGCCTTTCATCCCAACCACATTCCATTGGCTAACTTCTTTTTCCCACTACCCAGCCTCAGGCATCAACACTGTCCTCCTGCAACTGGCCTTCTCTAACTTGCTGGGAAAAGGCAGTGTCAAGGTTGCTAAAGGGCAGGTACACAGGCTGGACAGATCTGAGGAATGGCCATGTCTTATTTTTATATGCCACCCCAGTAAATAGCCCTGGATCTGGGACTGTGAGCCATAGAATGGGTGCTTCGCAGGGTGGGAGGCAGGGGGAATGGAGAAGTATATGTTTAATGGGTACAGGGTTTCGGTTTGGGAAGATGAAAAAGTTCTGGAGAGGGATGAAGGTGATCGTTGTACAATGTGAATGCTGTGAATTAATTATACACTTAAAAACAGTTAAAATAGTAAATTTTATGTTATGTGTATTTTACCACACACACAAACTAAATAATAATATTAAATTTTCAAGGTCACTGGAAAGACTAGATAGAATATACTGTTTGTCATCAGCATGTGCTTAATCAACAGTACCCAGTGTTACTGACATTTTCAGC